GGGTCAGGAAAAGAAAAAGCTTTGAATTATCTACCTTCAAAGCTTAGAGGCAAATCTTAGAGCATCATCATCAACCTTTGGCAAAACATTTCAGAAATCTATTCCAAAATTTGTACTCCAGGTACCTCAGCAATGGAGGTTTTTGAACTGTCGAAAAGCTGGGTTCAGTTATTCGTTTCAATTGGCTGTAAAATGAATTTGTACCAAAAGATGCGAATAACGCCATATATTCACTGTTTGGTTTACCATGTCCCTGGTTTTGTTGACCGCTATGGTTCAGTTCGTGACTTCAGTTGTCAGGCCCTTGAAAAAACTAATGATGAAATAAAAAAAAATACATCAGCAAAAATCAAATAAATGGGATGCAACTGTTGAGGCACTGAAAGTCAGGAAACGAATGGAGAACCATAGCGATCTCAATCGAGTTAAACGCCAATACACCAAAAGGAAGCTTGTGTGATGGGAAGATACTATAAAGGGTTCAGTTATTCGTTTCAATTGGCTGTAAAATGAATTTGTACCAAAAGATGCGAATAACGCCATATATTCACTGTTTGGTTTACCATGTCCCTGGTTTTGTTGACCGCTATGGTTCAGTTCGTGACTTCAGTTGTCAGGCCCTTGAAAAAACTAATGATGAAATAAAAAAAAATACATCAGCAAAAATCAAATAAATGGGATGCAACTGTTGAGGCACTGAAAGTCAGGAAACGAATGGAGAACCATAGCGATCTCAATCGAGTTAAACGCCAATACACCAAAAGGAAGCTTGTGTGATGGGAAGATACTATAAAGGAAGTGAGACAGGGTAAAAAGTCAAAAATCATCAAAGAAATTACATCTCATCCAACCCAAGATGTCAATTTGAGTGAACTTTCAGTTTCGGGGCTCCGTGACTTTTTGCAAACTCATGATGTGACAACGAAGTCCAATTCAAGGCCTAAACTTATGGAGATGGCCAGCAAACTGAAGTGATGTTTGCAGATCTGTTTATGTGTTTAGGACATGTGACATCCTTTTGTTAAAGATTAGCATAATGCATTATATTATTCATGTCTTCATGTAAATAAATAGTTTTCCTCAATTCAAAATATTGTTTATTTAGTTTGTTAGCTGATGTTTCGACTCGGTGCTTGTATAATTATTTTATGCATAAGTATATCGTCTATTGTGGCAGTTTTTAAAAACAGGTAATATCGCAAAATACACTTCAAATGATTACATTCCGATTACATCAATATAAAACGGGGATAATACAGTATTACATACCAAATTATACATTCATGAACTTAATACAAAACAATTTTCTTTTAGTTTTTCAAACAAACAGAAATGTAAAATATTTACACGAAATGTATCTACACGTGGGTTCGAGCGTAGGATGCATGTACAGCACGAGATTCGTGCTATAAATAAACACTAATAAACCTCAATTAGTACTGCAGGAGTTATCTCTGATGACATCAAGATACTATTTTAGAACGCATTATTGGGTTTATATCGTTGTGGAATAGTTAAGTCCCATGTATTCTTGGGTATGGCCTGGTGGTTAAAGCGTTCGCTCGTCACGCCGAAGACCCGGGTTCGATTCCCGACATGTGTTGAATGTGTGAAGCCCATTTCTGGTGTCCCCCGCCATGATGTTGCTGGAATATTGCTAAAAGCGGCGTAAAGCCATACTTACCCACTCATTATGAGTAATCTCACGACTATTTTCGCAACTGGAGTTCGTTCGATGCCGTTAAATGACATTTTCCAAGTTGAAACATTACCGTCCATAACTAGCGGACGCCAGAAATGCACGTGATAAACAATTGGAGAGGTCATAGTATAAAATGACCTTCAACCGCCAGTTGGTTTCTAAACTCGCGAGGATTCCTGGCATGAGAAGTATGTGTTACTGAAGTAAGTTCGTGCTATTGCTTTCTGTGAGATCGTCTCGAAAAGAAAATATATCGTCATGATACTGAGTGAGTATGGTTCCACGCCGCTTCTATAGCAATATCACGGCGTGGATCACGAGAACTGGGCTTCACACACTGTTCCTTTGTTAGGAAATTTTACACTGTATTGAACATGCCTATGCACCAGTGGGCGTTCATCCACTGATACCTACGACTGTGTTAGATACTGGATTCGAGGTGTGTTTTTTTTTACCAATCTCTGCCCCCGACCAACGACCGAAACTGGACTTTATTAACAAAGGGCAAATCTTTCCATTCACCAAATACCTTCTACCTTCATGCTGTATGTTAGATTAAGAAGCTTAATATGTATACAGGTCTTTGTATTGAGCTCTCAATGTCTGAAGCCCATTTCCGGTGTCCCCCGCCGTGATATTGCAGGAATATTACTAAAAGCTCTTGGCGGTGGTGCAGTGGTGGTGTATATGAGTTAAATGTCCGCTCTCACCAAAACACTAAATGTCGGCTTATCTGAATTTGATGATACCTGGAAGCGAACCGCCGTTAGCGTGAGGAGCTGAAGAGCTATCCAACCAACCCATTTGTTATTTTGGACAAATGTTAATAATTGAAACAGTACGTGACTTCAAGCATGGATGAGAATATATTCTATTTATTACGTTTAAACAAAGTGATTTAGTAACTTCGAACACAGGTCGATCAAATAAACTCGAAACACCAACCTTATACCAAGTAACGGACACATTTGAAAACGTTGCCAGTGAACGACCGTACATGTTCCGAGGAAAGAGACGGGTCGCCTTTATGTGGTGCTATCGCAGATGTTGACCATGATACTTTGTGGGAAGGTGTATTTCATTACAATTATTGACAGTTTCTGTAACACATCCAACAAATGAAGGCTTCCAAAGTTCCTGCCCATTATTATACCCCCGTCCATTATTTATACCCCAAAGGGCGGGGGTATATAGTTATACCAAGGAATTCCCTCCGATGACTTTTTTTGTGTGACCTAAAACTTGAAAACTACTGCATGTACATAGATGCTTTGCAAACTTGGTGAACACTTCTTATTCCAGTCGGAGAGGTGCAGGGGCGAAGTTTGATTTCAATATTTAGATTTTCTGAAGAAAAGAATAGAGCTCTTTTTTCTCTTTTCTTTTTACTTAAGAGAATATTTTTACTGAAACATTTGTGTGACCAATAACTTGAAATCTATTACATGGATTATTTTCATAGGAGAAAGGAAGGAAAACAGTTTCCATACTAACAGACGAGGTGCAATGTAAATGTGGATTTCTGACAAAAAGATTATTTTTTTTCATCTTTTAAACAATATCTTTTTTACTTCGACATTTGTGAGACCTATAACTTAATAACTACTTCATGGATTCTTTTCCAATTGGGGTTACTCTTTCTTTGCCAATATAGGAGACGCGCAGGTCAAAATATTGCTTTTTTCATGTTTTGAACTATGTTGGGGTCGAAGTCGGTGGTATTAGTGAGCCCTGCTCACTTATGGTCTTGCTAATAAATTGTTTTGAGGTCTCTAAAAGTTACTAATACTCGCATAACTTGGATCAAGCAGGGTTAAGGTAAAACAGACTCACTCGCTCTTCCATAATGTTGATTGACCACTATTGAGTTTCACTAAAACGTATGGTGAAAAATACCTCAGACATCCTCAAACTTTCAGGATGATGTATATAGCTTAAGAGAAGAACGTAATGTATAAAGTAATCCAAGTATTTATATATACAACATGTATGGACGAACGTTGTGCTTTACGAGGAGATACGGGTTAGAATTGGTCTCCAGCAGCCTGTGCTTGTCGTAAGAGGCGATTAACGGTATCGGGTCGTTAGGCTCGCTGACTTGGTTGATGCATGTCACAGTATCTCGACTGCGTAGATCGATGCTCATAATGTCAGTCACTGGATTGTCAGGTCCAGACTCGATTATTTACAGACCGCCGTCTTATAGCTGGGCTATTGCTAAGTGCGGCGTTAAACAACAAACTATGCGATGAATGAACGCGAATATGGTCGAGAATGTGAAGTAAACGTTTACGAACGAACAGGAAACGCTGAACAGTCAATCTCAATCAGGCAGGGTTATGCAACTACTTCGCCCGTCATTGTTTCCTAACGTTTAGACTTCGACAGCTGATTATACACTTCGATCCTGATTCCCCGCGTAAATCTCCGGAACTATATAGACATATAAGGTAACATGAACACGATTATATTTAAATCACTATCGCATAAAATAACATTTTACAAATTATTTGACAAGTATTCAAGATGGTGTCTCCATAAATCAAGTCTTATACAGTCATGTACAAACCCCACATATGGGTTGCCTGTGTCGGACATGTTTGATGTGGCAGGGACCACATGTAATACATGACATGGTGGAAAAAGCACGTTCGGAGTGAGTCATCGCTGTCAGCCTGTACAACATCGAATCATACCAACTAACATTGACACATGCTTGTATACATACTGCTGTTACAGGTAACATTTTAAACAAATCTGACAGCAATGACAATCGTGAAATGCATTGAATTGACAGTGATTTGTTCAGTCGACAATGTATCAAACATGGAATGATAATGGAATCGTGTGTGTGTTTGTGTGTGTGCGTGTGTGTGTTTAAGAAATCGTACAATTAAACACTGCAGGAAGAATAGTCCATGATGGCTGTGTGTATATATACATATATTAACGTACATTTTATCTAGGCTCCTTGCAATTATGGAACAATTAAAAGAGGATATTTAAAGTCGTTTATTTCTAAATATTCTTATCCTAATTTATACAAACGGTGGGAGTGAATACGTGTGCTTCTCATTTATTACATCAGAAACTTATGCCGTTTTACTTGTGACCCCTGATGGGTCTCTTCGCGATTGGTTTCTACACTGCACGTGATTGGTTGGTAAAAATAGAAGTGATTCATGAATAGAGTGAGACTTAACGTGTAATATAAGTTTCGCATTAGTTTCGTCACACATTCTAAAAATATGTGGGTATTTGTCATATCTAGATACTGTTATATCTATATGCAGGACAATGTATACTAAAATATATACAGCAAGATAGGTTGATGTGACGAAACCGATACGAAACTAAATTTACAATTGACTCTGCACGTAATGTTGTTGTTTTGATCTAGCTGTCAGTCTCATTTTGCCAAGGGAACAACCTTGTTACAACTCGGCTGAGTAAGGTAGATCATTTTCCTCTTTCACTTGTCACTGTCATCTTTCATTGGTCTAACAATCTGGTAACGGGTGTTTATGCATTGTCGGGACAATATGAGGACTGTGTCTGCCAAAGTCAATGTCACTTTGTTTCCAATGTTTTGTGTGTACAGTCCATAATGCACTAGCCTATCTGCCGTCGCAGTTAGTTGCAGCTGTGTAACCTTGGCAGAAAAAAAGTGCTGGTATCATTGTCATCATAGCCATTGCCAAGCTCAGTTCATATGACTGTGACGTAGGAATCCGAAATTCACTTACAGATTCGAATAAAAAAACTCATTCACCTGTGTGTTCGTGTATACATAGGCTAGCTGTGAACTCGTTATGATGAATAATACAGAAATCCGCGTTTGATTAGACGTGCTGATTAATGATAGAAGGCTGCCTACCCAAGCTGTTGCACATGCAACTTCATTTGAAAGAAAAGAGTTATTTCTCGAATTGCCCTATCCTTATCTGATTTTGATAACTTTATAATATTTTTGAAAAGATTTTGATCTGTATACAGAAACGTACGTGGGGTACATATCTGTAGTACCTGTGGTAACACTGTTCTGTCGTTACTGTCAATCAAGACAGCACATCAACATCACTTATTGATTGGTGAAATAGTTTCTTTAAACTTATCAAATAATTGAAAATTATTCTCTGGCAAGAAGTTGTCAACCATCTCTCATGTCCAAACCACTGTGTTTGCTTTTATTGGCAGCTGACAAAGTGCTAAAACACCTTTCTTATTCATTATAATCAATGAATTAAGTGAATGTGATCACTGGTGATCCCTGAGAATATAAGACATGTAATTTGTGTAACTAAAGCAGTGTGCATGACCAGCTGACACTATTCTTGGAGATAACTGATACAGTTAGTCAATGAAAAGTATATTTCTGCTGTTGGATTTCTCATCTCAGTATATATGGGTTGCTGAAGGCCTATTCTATCCCGGATCTTCATGAGTCTATTATGTGCTTAGTTTGAGCAGGTACGAAACTTTATAGTTTGTTTGACACATGTTATTTTTCTCTCTCAACATGCTCAATAATGTTAAGGGGACACATATGGCCCAGTTGTCTAAGGTGTTGCAATTCGGTCTGCTGAGTTGCATCCCTTGGGCATGCAAGAAACATATGATTGTGGGTTCAAATCCCTGTTTGACCCAATTATGTTTCTAAATTTGTCAGCATCATATCCGTGCTCATTGGTTTCACAAAAGTAGTAAGTGTCTGACAACAGGATCACCTTGGGCTTCCCTCCCACATTAAGCTGACACGATGTGATGATGTAACTGGAATACAGTTCACAGCGGTGTTTAACCAAACTCACTCAATGATGGGGAGGGAGTCGGTTAGCCTAGTGGTTAAAGAGTTCGCTCATCACGCCGAAGACCGGGTTCGATTCCCAACATGGGTACAATGTGTGAAGCCCATTTCTGGTGTCCCCTGCCATGATATTGCTGGAATAATGCTAGAATCGGCGTAAAACCCAAATCACAATGATGAGGATTGTTGGATACAATGAAGCTGCTTGTTACTGTGCTAATGACCATGATGGCAAATGAATACAAACCATATGAAGTATGCTGGTATCATACTAGGCTTGGCTGGGAACATGTTCCTCGCGGCCTCGGGGGAACAGTCTGTGCATGACTTATCCCGGGGCAACAGGTTAATGAGACAAGTCTATTCCTTGTGGCCATGTTGTGCTCATTCAGGTGTTTGCTGAATGGTCTTGAGCTGTACATCATCTGTACATCTTAATCTTTTCCATTTTCTTAATCTCATTAAATTATGAGTGATGATGAAGTTTGCAACTGAATATTCCTGCATTGGTATTTCTAAAACATTGGTCTCAGAATTTTAGTTCTATTTGAGATATTGCCATCATTACGGTAGCAAAATAAAAATATGAAATTGGCCCCTCTCAGTATAATTTCTGTATGTATCATTTGACCTTCAATTTCTCCCATAAATCTAGTAATATGTATGTGACCCACCAGAAGATAAGGGACCTAATGGGTAAAGAATCACATTTTGACTTTCCATTTTATTTTAAAACTACAGTATTTAGGGACCACAAAAATACAATTGATAGGCTTCAATTCATATTTATTACAGAGTGAGTGAGTGAGTATGGTTTTACGTTGGTTTTAGCAATATTCCAGCAATATCATGGCGAGGGACACCAGAAATGAGCTTCACACATTTTACCTATGTCGGGAATCGAACCTGGGTCTTTGGCGTGACGAGCAAAGGATTTAACCACTAGGCTACCCGACCACCCCTTTATTACAGAGACACATGGCATCACACATTTGGACCCATTTTCTGCAAAGTCTCATTTTCAGACTAATGACTGTTTATGTAATAATTGCAGTTTTAGATATATATTCTGATTATTTGAAAGTAGACATGTATGCTGAAATGCTTTGTAATAATGTTTTTATTGCATTATGAACTGATGAGAGAAATACCATATATTTTTACAGTCCTCATACATGGCAATTTACAGAAGTAAATTGACGTCAAGCGCTTTCTTAATGAGCTCACACCACAATTGTATCCTAGCATCCATAAGGTCCCTTGTCTGCTGGCGAGTCTCCTATGTAGGTAGCAAGCACAGGGCTATGAAGTAAAAATGTTATGTAGAAGTATAACCTCCCAACAATACTTTTCATAACATGAATAATGTTCATTAAATTGCTCCCTTAATTCATATGCAACCCAGGTATATCATGCATATTGTAGCATATTTTGTTTTCCCATTATTGAGCCATTTTTTCTTGGAATTCAGTATGTAGAGTTGCAGGTTTTTGCATGGTCTCACCAGTCTGTCACATCATTAGCAGGTAATTTGAACGTGACTGCTATTGGAAATGTAGTACTATTCGACTACTCAGGCAGTTATGAACATGTATAAATGACGTAAAACATGAAAAATGTGTAATTTAACATGCCATGAATATATGTCTGCTGTGTTAAAACCTCTGCTGTTATCATGGTTACACTGCTATGATCTAAACCATTAAAATAGGGCTCTAATAGTGAGTGTAAGAGTTGGTACTGTGCAGCTTGACGATGAGTATTGAATACTCACTAGAAACCTGAAGAGCTATGGAAACCTACTTTCTAGATCTAGTTATGTAACCAGGAATTGTTTGGTTCTGTTTGTGTAATGACACCCTGAATATAGGCAAGTTTGTCATAATTAGAATAAATAATACTTTGCATTTCTCAGATGTTTTTGGTGCTTGCCTCTATTCGGATTGATTAATGTTTCATCCAGTGCATCACATATAGCAGCTACATATATATTTCCAGATTGTAATACAATCATTCATCATTGTTGGGTGGTGTTTTCCGCATGTACCAGCATGACTAGTGTGCCTGTATACTTCCTGAATCAACATGGTGCACTGTAGTCAGTGCTAGATCATTAGATGTCACACCCACAACATGAGGTCAGCATGGACTCAGGTGACCCGATGATTGGACACAGCATGTGTATTATATTTTATACGTTGTAGCAGGATCACTTGGGACGCATAAAACCCCATATACCCCGAGTGATCCTGCTAAAACTAATTTATCTTACCGACATGTTCTAATGTGACATTGTGAAAGAATTAACACAAATTCTAAATTCAAAGAAAACAGCTGTCAGATTGAGCTGAACATGCTGAAGTTAACTTGTGCTGTGTCACATGATTTCCATTTAATTGGAAAAAGCATGTGTCTTTTTGCTTTGAAGTGGGATGTAAGGGATTTATTCTGCCTCTCAGAACTCCATGTGCAGCCTTACTTGCTCGTGGCAGGGTATAAGAGATTTATTTCCCCGCTCAGAAATTTATTACCCTCCAAGGCGCGTTACATAGTATTTTGTCAAGATCACGTGGACAATCATATCTCATCATTCTGACATGGAGGTGTTGTAAATAATGTTGTCCACAGAACACTCGTTTCTCGTCACAATATGGCTGAAATATTGCTGATGTGACGTACAATTTTAACACACTCACTCACCATATGTTTACTTGTAACTGTTTCAACTTCCAGCTGTGTCAATGAATGTCAGCCCATAGTCAGTGTGGACATATCCAGGAGAGAGATGCAGCCTGCTGTCACACTTATCTGCCCTTGTAACAATTACCGAGCACTTGTGTGTGAAACTACCATTAGTTCACCAGTTTACTATGTTACAGCATGTTACACAAGTTGAGGTGTCATCTTTCTGTTTGTGCACCAAGTAGGTTGCTGGTGCAACATGTGCAAGTGAAAACAGTTTCCGAGAGCCATTGCATCTTTTTGTTCGTATGATTTGCTTCTGCCAATGAGGACTGCAAATGAAATCAGTTACATTGGTATAATATATTCACTCTATATATGTATCCTTTTCATAAGATTTGTAAACTTGATAATTCAAGTACTACTACCGCCATGACCATGATGAGTCTTGATGACTACTTTTGATTCAGGTAACAAAGTCTACCTTAGTTAAGTATGTGATGATTAGAGGTAGAACATGTTATATTCTGGGGTAGGGGCTGTAATGTTTGTTATGAACATGATATATTTTGGGCCACTGCTTCAAAACGTACAATTTATTTCTCTGAAACAACACATTTTCCTAATGATATCCAGCATGTCCAGTCAGAAATTGTTGTTGTAAAACCTGAAACATAATTAGTTTTCCCCAGTTTCCATGTCTACAACATGTAAATACATGTGTCTTCAGGTAAGGTGAAATGAGGTTTAACATCACATTCAAGATTATTGCACTTATATAGAGAAGTGTATGTGGCTGCGTGTACTTGTCTGGACTGATGCTGATTTTATAGTACCAGCTAGGGCTGGGACGGGTAACTTGGGTACTCGGGTCGGGTGGGTACTGAGTAGGACCCAGGTACCCACAGGACTACCCAGACCCGTGGTTAGTCACATGATATATTGTTTAATGACAAAAATTATCT